ATTAAACTTCTAATATCATTGCACTCCAGTCTTCATTACTACCTTGTAATACACCTGGAAGTAGAAATTTTTCTACCCATTTCCAATACCTAAGTAAGGTCAAATACATCAGGCTTGATTTCTGCAGCTTGAGCTGTCTTGAAAATTGAGTCAAGATTAGAAGAGCCAACATGAACCACAAAAAAACCCCCAAAAAATCCCCAAACAAGCCAACCTGCAGAGCGAGGGAAGCACAGAGTTGTCCCTGCAAACATTTCCAACCCTACCAATCAAGGCAGAGACAGGAGTAAGGAATGAAAGGATGTTAAGCTTTGCAAGATCAGTTTTGGAGCCTCCATCCCTTATGTTGCTCTGTCTGTGTGTGGCAGAGAACACTCAGGGCTGCACTCTCTAAGCAGAGTGCTGGGTGTGCACATGGGCAGGGAGGGAGTACAGGACACACAGAGCCACCCCTGAGGGGACAAGGCAGAGAGTGGCTCTGGCCAAAGTGCAGACACTGCCTGCAGGAGCAGGGCTCTGGCTGGGCACAGCCCACAGCCCCTGACAGCAAAGGCAGGCCCTTAGCTCAGCACAAACCTCCACACCTCAGTGACAGCCTGAGCTCTTTTGGGGTTTTTCCCCAGTGACACAGAGAGGGGAACTGGATGCTCAGGGATGAGCTGGCTGAAGCTCTTCAGGTGTCCCACTAATGTATTCTTTCATTCTCAGTATAAAATATGTACTTCCTGGACTGATAGCACACATTAAACTCTAGGGTAAATACACTTCATCAACAGACATCACTAATCTAAAAAAAATTAAAAATTCTAAGAGCTTAGGTTTAGGAGAATTGGGGCAAGAGAAAAGGAAAGAGAAGGAGCCCTTGACATGGAACAGAAATGGGAAAGCTGATGCAGAAGGATACTCTCAGCTTGTCCAAAACAATCATGTCAACAGCACAGGTTGAAATAAACAAACTGAAATTGAGATTTTTGAACTGCAATTGTGGTACTAAATAATCCAACAAAACTTTAATAAAAGAACAACCTTCTGTGGCTTTGCAGGGCTCCACCACAAAGCAGCATTAGCAACCTGCTCACTGCCCAGCTCTCTGTCAGGAGCCCTCATTTATTGCACAGGGACCAGCTCTGCCCAGGGCACTGCTGTGAATCTCATCTGCAAAATTTGGTGCCTGAGTTTCAGGCACTGCAAAGAGAGCATCAGGAACATGAGGATGCCTGCTGAATGCTTGCCTAATTAATGAGTTAGAATCTACTGTACCCTAAGCACTGGTAGCTTATTGGAAGTCATGAGGGGACCAGGAGGGCACTGAGGACATTTAGTCTACACTTCAAAAGAGCAGGTCACAAATCAATTACTCTGGATTAATTTTATCCTATTAAGTAAGTCCTCTTCACAATTTCAATTTGTTTCATTTGTAGGACATTATGAATTCTAGCACCAGAAATAATTGCACTGAATAAAACACCAAAATATAATTTCCATGATGTGTTGATAGACAGGGGAAAGGAAATAAGAGTTGTGGTAAATGGAACATGATGTGTCTTGAGCATGGCCAGAAATTACCAGAGATGCTGTTGAGATATTCCTGTAAAATTCCATTGACTACAGTAGACAAGAATGAGGTTTTTCTACCATCAAATATGCAGTCTGTTAAACAACACTGCAGTAAAAAACAGCTCCTAAAATACATTATGCAATTTAATTCCAGATGAAGAATTTGGTTTAAAAAATAATAAAATAAAACAAACCAAAACACTCTTTAATTTGCATTACGCATCAGAGATTTTTATGTTCCATGCTCTGAAGTTCCATTTACCTCCTCTTCACTCCATTACACAAGGAGTAGATGGTATTTCAAAAGGAAAACAGTTGTTTCTGTATTTATTAAAAACAACAGTTGTTAGGATATGTGAATGTTTTATTGCTATTTTATAAATATTGTTCTTAGAAACGGATCATAAAAGAGCCAGTGGGCCCTAAGGAAAAGGTTCCTTAACTTTCCTACTTCAATAAAATTAAAAGGACTAAGAGAATATGTAAGTACACCCATCACAGACAAAATATTTTGATAGCCATCAGAAACACTTGAATGTTGTTCCTACTATGGATATTGATCCAGCCATCAGCAAAACAGAAATTTTTCTTCACAACTCTTTCAGTTTCGTGCAAATGTTGTTCATGGGTGAGAAACAGAAAAAGAAAACCCCTTTTATTATTCATCAATGAAAATGTTGCAAAAATTGAAGTTCTGCAGGTTGAGAAGGAAGTGTGTCCCTGTGACCCAGATCTTGTTCCTGCTCAGAGGTACAAAGCTCCAATAATTGTTATCCAGCTCCCTCAAACCAGGAGCCTGGAGCACATCAAAAGGGCTGAAAAGCAGGGATTAGGAGCTAGATCAAAAGACAAGGCATCAACAGTTTAAAGGATGCAGTTCTGTGAGTACACCAGAGGGAATTTCAACTGAAGGCAGCACACAGGTGTGGGGGGACACCGTGGCAATCCAGGGGACACAGCCCAGGCCAGGCCAGCAAGGGGAAATGAGAGCACAAGTGAAATCGTGCCACCAGCTGCAGCATTCCATCCAAGCTGATGCATTCCCTGTGGAGCAGGAGCTGTGCATGATCCCCTCTGACAGAACAGGATAATGGACCCCCAGTGAGTGGATCTGGAGTGTGACAGGCTCCAGGCATGGGCTGTTTGTGCCAGGTTTGTGACAGCACTGACAGCTGCAGCTGGAGGGAGATGGAACCACAGGGATTAACCACTTCTGATGATTTCTGCAGCAGAAATACAGCCTGAGCAGCACTGCAAGTTGGTTTGTTGTTATGTGGCATCTCGGGAAGGAGTTTGCAAAATGCCCCAGCCCTGGAAGGGCTCAAGAACAGGCTGGATGCAGCTCTGAGCACCCTGGGACAGTGCAAGTGTCCCTGCCCGTGGCACTGGATGAGCTGTCAGGTCCCTCCCAGCCCAAACCATGCTGGGATTCTATGAAAACGAGCACGTGGGCTATTTGGTGGCGTTTCAGCCACTCAGGTCTGTTGAAGAGGACAAGTGGGAGGACTGCAGCTGCTCCAGTCTCAGAAACACACAGCCCCAGTACACACCAGTCCCACCAGTTCAGTCCTGCAGGCACAGAACACGCCTGTGCCACCAGCCCAGACACTCCTGCCCAAAGAGCTGTACCCAAAGCAATCAACAGGCTGTACAACCAACTTTATGGAACTTTTCTTTAACAAATTCTCAATGTCAGTGTGTCAACTTTAAGGCTGGCACAGAAGCATTGCCAAAAGAAATGTCTGAAATAAACCAAAACAACTTTAACTTTTAACAAATTCTCAATGTCAGTGTGTCAACTTTAAGGCTGGCACAGAAGCATTGCCAAAAGAAATGTCTGAAATAAACCAACATTTTTTTTTCTTTTGAACTCTCAGCACTCTATTTTGGTCACATCTACCAAGCATGTCTGTTCCACCTCTCCTGCACTGTGTGATAGCTCCCACAGTATCTCAGTGTCTCTTAGAAGCTGGAACAGTCCTGACAGATCCCAGAAATTCCTCATCTGGCATTTCAAGCAAAGCAGCTGCCTGAAAGCTTCACTGGCCGCTAAACACAAGAGCTGCAAGAAAGTGCTTTTCTCAGCCAAGTTTTTAGCAGCTTTTCTGATCCCTCCTCCTTCCCCACAGCACACTTTTATCTGCCCTGTTACTTGCCAGGTTCAGCCAAGTCTTTGAAGGGCTGCAGCTTTGGGTTGTGCCTCTTCTGCACTTGGGTTAGTTATCAGAAGTTGCTGTTAGCTTTTATGTGTTTACTTCAAGGACTTCCAGAGGAATGTCAGTCACTGGTCACTACCAGGAACAGCACTGGGAACAGGAGCATCCTGCACTGAGGCATTCCAAGCAGAATGTGGTAAGGGATGGCAGCAAGTCTCATTTCCATCCACATTTTCAAAACCTCTTTCCTTTTTCTTATTCAACACAACAGTTAAAGTACTTTCCATGGTCCCTTTTCACCCTGTCCTCCCTAAATGAGCTGAGGGCATCCACAGCAGCAGCTCTCTGTTAGCTCCTGCATTAACTATTCAGTGTTCCTAGCACACAGGCCAAAAAATTCAAGGGAATCCATGGTTGTCCCCTACACTTCAATTTCTATAAGTTTATGACCCTTTAAGAGGCACAGTAAAAACTAATTTATAAGCTTATACATATTTAAAGCTGCAACACAGTCTCTTATACATTCTGTTAAAAAAGCTTTGCTATCTTTACACTGCAGCATCTTCCAGTGGTTTGTAATACCTTTCTAACACATTTATCAGCCAGTTCCTCCTGGTTATCACCACTGAGTACTGGTGATGTGCCCTGAACACACTTCATTCCACCTTCCAGCAAGGTCCTCTGTGTCAGAGCATCAAATCCACTCCTTCCAGACACAATTTTCCTTTTGGTGTCGTTGCAGTGTCTTTAGTTTAGTAGCTGGTTATGCTTAAGCAAGTGCAGGCTACAGGAAAACCAGCTGACACAAGTTTGGATTTTGTCTCCAGGGATCTTATTTTGTATGTTAAATCTCATCATCCAGCACAGACAATACAAACCCTTTGATAAACCAGATTGTCAAACCAAAGTACTAGCAGGCAAGCAGTCAGCTGGACCACACAGCAAATTATAGTTTCACCTATTTCTAAACAGTGTATTTTCCTGTTTGCTTAGTCAGAAGAATCATGGGAAAAAAAAACCCAAATATCTTTCAACATCAGCAACACTTAACATTACCTCTTAATCTAGATTTTTAGAACTTCAGAAGAGATGTTGATCCACAGCAGGAAATACTGCATTTAGTATTATTCTGATAAATGTGAAGGGAAAGCAGCACATGAGAATTACCATGAGCAAAACCAAATTGACAGTTCCCACTCAGTGGGAGAGATGAAGCTGAGAAAAGAAACCAAGTTAATACTGATGGTAATATGAAGGAAAAATGTCCATTAGACATGACAAACTTACCAGCACTGTTCGCCCTTGGGAAATAAAGAAATGGCCAGACTCCACAATGGTAAGGACAAGAGGGCCTGATTCTTCATTTGATTCAAACACCTTTAAAAAGACAGAAAAAGGAAAATCTGGCCCTGCAAGCACAGAATCTACAATTCCCATTTCTAGTGCCAAATAAAAGGTCTCAAACGTGCTGTTAGAAGCCAGGTGTGTAATCCCTGTCTCACTAATGCAACTTATCCTTCACTCTCACAGACAGGAAGCACATTAAATAATTTTTTTTTCACTAATTATACCTCCATATACAGATTTAACTACTTGGGACAACCCTCTGGATTCTTCCACCTTCATCTCTAGATTTTAATACCACAGGTTACTGCTGAATGAAGGAATTTTAGAAAGTGGGCCACTAACACTCTGATGTGTTGTCATTAATAATTCATGAAGCAAAGTCTCTCCCGATTCCTGCTCTAGACTCGCAAAAAGACACCTGAAAGACCTCATTTATTCGTGTTTGCCTCACAGCAGACTCAGTTACCCCACCCCGTCCCACCACCCTCCCCGCGCCGCCGGCACCTTCCAAGAGGTGTTTTGCCCCTCATCGTCACCGTCCTTCGGGGGGAGGAAGCGACCGTAGCGCTTCAAGGGCCACACTGTGGCGCTACCGAGGAGGGAGGTGTCGCCGGCGCTGCCCGGAGCCGAAGCCAGCCCAGGCTGGGAGCCACGACTGCTGCCAGCCGCCGCCATCCCGCGCTGAGGGGCTCGGGGGGGTTGAGGGCGTTGAGGGCTCTGAGGGCTCTGAGGGGCGGTGGCGGGCAGCGCGCGGGAAGCAGGAGCCAATAGGAAGACGGAGAGGGCGAGCGGCGGGAATTGTTGTCCAATCAGCGCGAGGCGCGAGGGGGCTCGCGCCGCATCTTCGTGGCGACGCGTCCTTGTGAGGTGCGGTCGTTTTTTTCGCTTCAGCGATGCCGCGCACAGCTCCTGGCTCCCTCCTCTCTTTCTTCGCCTTCCTTTTCTTCTTCTTCCTCTCCCGCTCCGAGGGCAGCATGGCTACAGCCTCTCCCTGCTCCCAAGCAGCCCCTGGCCGTGCCGATGTGGCGGGTCCGCCCGTCGGCGCTGAGGGGAGAGAAGAGCGCGGAGGCCGTGGCCGCCATTTTGTGGCGTGAGGGAGCGCGGTCGGAGCTGCGCAGCAAGGAGGAGGGCGAGGATGTGAAGCTCTCGCTGTCTGTCACTGCCCCTGTGACATGCCCGTGGAACCTGGCCAAGATGTCAGCATGCATCCTTCCTCAGGTAGAATATGACAAGTCCCTGTAAAAATGCTGTCCTACACTCTCAGTTCCCTTTCTATTTTTTGGTGGCGTTCGCTTCCTAAAGTTGCCACAGGGGTTTTTGTGGTACCTGAATTGTTCCGTCAAAAAAGCTGTTTTCAATGTGTGTGATGGTTTTAGCCAGAGTAAGCAAACAACTGGATTAATAAATCACAATTGCACTCTCCTCCCATTTCAGCTATTAGGTGCTTCTACAACGTTCTAATGCTGTACTTCCCTTGGACAAGGAGTGATGGTGACATAACTGCACTTTGGTGTTCCATTTATAGTACATACCTCGGCTCATTAACGATAAAAATGCACATGAGCTGGTTGAGGACACTGAGGGGGCCCAGAGGAGCCAGGGACCATTCAGGAGTGCCCCAAATGGGCTGGTGGATGCCCATCACCATGAGTTAAGCCATCCCCTGCCCTGAGGGTGCCATCCCAGTACCTTTAATCCCTGTTCTTGCATTGCCCACTGCAATGCAATACACCTGGCCAAGATGAAACTTGGGTATATATAAGCAGAAAAAATAAGTTTATGGCTTTTTTTTTGCTGCTTTTCTTTACCTGTATGCTTTGCATTGATGTTGTTGTGTTGGCTGATATAAATAAAATTAAATAACTACTGTCTCATCTGAAGTAAATCCTTCAGGGATGAGGTTAACCTATTAAACTGTGATGGTTTAATCTACATGGTTTAATCTAGATGGTTTAATTAGAAAATATTAGATTGACATTTATGTCCTGTGGCCCTTGTGTTTTTCATCTGATGCTGCACCCGAGAGCCAGTTTGGCATCCAAGGAGCTATTTCCAAAATAAACAATTTTACAGAGTTTCCAAAAGGGAGGTGTTTATCTAAGCATTTTGCAGATAGGGAAAGGCAGAAAGGCATTAAGTGACTTGACAAGGTCATCCAGAGACATCAGTAATGAAACAGGGAATACAGCGTGGGCTTCCCAGCTGCCAGTTGCCTTCTCTAATCACTGCTTCCCCACGAGGCTTTCTCAAATTGTGCTTGTCAAACGTTCAGAATTTGCTAGTAGACTTGGGACTTTCTTGGAATCTATAGAAGCTGAACATTTTTGTCAGAGAAAAATGTTATGAGTACAGCTAGGTAAAATATTTTCCCCTATTTTAGCTGGAAACTGTTTGCAGCATTTATTTTCTGTGGAAAACAGTTTCCAGTGTCTGTTTTCCAAGACTGATTTTTGGCTTCTGCATGAACAAAACAAAAACTTAATATTTTACTAAAGCAAAAATGTCAAGGTATGTGTTTGAGAGAGGCAGATGGAAACCAAGAGCACCAGATACTTCAGTCTCCTCATAGATATTTGCTCTGCTTGTTTACTTCTACTTTTTTGGACATGAATGTGTGATTTTACATAGAAATATATATATAAAGTCAAATGAGCATTGTGTTGAGACCAATACACAAGCCTTTGCAGATTCTAATTTCCTTGGGGAAGTGCACGATTAGCTCTGGATTGAGAGAGTAAACATAGAGGAGAATGGTTAAAATGTGTTTTGATTTTTAAATTTTTTTTTTGGTAAAAGGCTAGAGAAGCTGCCAGTTTTTAAAAATTATGGAATAAAATGTAGAAGAAAGAGACAAGTAAAAGCTGTCAGGAGACTGACAGGTTAAAATGTGTTTCATCAGAGATGAGATGGCAAATCCCATCTAGATGCCAAGGGTTTGTCACTGTTGTGTGCTTCAGGTTTGCCTCAGACTTCACAGGCTGCAGTGGCACAAGTTAATTTTCTCACTGCAGAAGTATCTTCTGTAAATAAATTAGAGAAACTGCCAAAAGCAGAGCTCTCAGTGCAGGGACACAGATCCCTCCTCAGACCATGTGGGTTTGATAATGTGCTGATAATTGTTAGATGTACTGCTGTCCATTCTGCTACCGGGTGTTTTGCTGAACAATCTCCATTATTGATTTTTAATAATAATTGTGATGATAACAGCAGCAATTAAATCACATCAGCGTGACTTTATTGTCAAGTGTGAGCACAGATTTGCCACAAGTGCTGGGGATGGACTGGAGGAACTCACAGGAATTAGGCAAATAATGTATCAACACCATCGAGGGTGCCAGATGCACGAAATGGATCTAAATGAGCAACAAAAGGTGCTTTTTAGCAATTCTGGAGCTTCCCTGTGGTCCTGACCACTTCCCATCTGCTTCTGCCCAGCTGCCTTCAAGGCACGAGTGGGGTTCCTCACAGTGGCATAAATCATAGGCTAGTGAAAACATTCTGTTCAGAAGATCTGATTTATTGCTTTGATTGCTGTAATAATTAGTGCTGTCTCGTGCTTTAGTTGCTTTGTTAGTAGTTGTGGTATTTCCCCAGGTTCATTGCATTAATTAACGTTTCACAGAGTTGTTCTTGCTTTCCTTGGTATGTGCTCTGCGGGCAGCAGCCTCCCTGCCCAGATCTCTCAGTGCTGATGAAATCACAGCATCTCTGCTTACTGCACAGCACTTCTGTACCCTGCTCTCCCCAAAACACCTCGTCCAGTCCTGTCAGCATGACTCAGCCTGGGGGCAGATGAGCTCCGAGCTTCCTTACTCACAAATTGGAAGCAAGGCCCTGGTGTTGTTGTGGTTCATGGCCTCTGCTGACCTGGGGACTGTCACATACTCACCTGTGGGAACTGCAGGCACTGAATTTTACTCGTCACTTTTATGCTGTTGCACTTTTTCCTTGATAAAATCTACCCCTTTACAATAAGCTTTACGTTTTCAAGTGAAAATCTGGGACCACATTAATGTGTTTCTGATGTCTTGTACTGCAAGTATCAGTGTAAGGTAGAAGTAAAGTCTGATGGCTTGTGTTTGGCACCCACAGAATCCCAGAATGGTGTGGGTTGGAAGGGTCCTTCAAGCCCACCCACTGTCCCCCCTGCCATGGGCAGTGACACCTTCCACTATCCCAGGGTGCTCCAAGCCCCAGTGTTCATCCTGGCCTTGGACACTGCCAGGGATCCAGGGACAGCCACAGCTGCTCTGGAAAAAATTCATTCCTACTATCCCATCAAACCCTGCCTCTGGCAGTTTAAAACCATTGCCTCCTGTCCTGGCACTGCCTGCCTGTACAACACCTCCCTCTGTTTTTTATGAGCCTCCTTCAGGCCCTGGCAGGGGCTCTGAGCTCTCCCTGAGCCTTCTCCTCTCCAGGTGAGCACCCCCAGCTCTCCCAGCCTGGCTCCAGAGCAGAGGGGCTCCACCCTCAGAGCCTCTCCATGGCCTCCTCTGGGCTGGCTCCAGCAGCCTCAGTCTGTAGTGTGCTGAGGACCCCAAGTAATGTGCAGTTATACTTCACAGACTCTTTCCTGTGACAATATCAAGATTAAGATTGGATGGAGAATCCACCTTTCAAGCACCATGAGCTCCCAGCTGAGTGTTTTCCATTATCCTTTCTATTTTCAGAAGTTACTCAGTTGTAGTGTGTCTCCAAAGATTGAGCCCATAAGCTCACATCTTGTTTCTGTTTATCTAGGGGATGACATTCCTAACTTGTCAAATATCACATTCCTCAGTGACACCTTCGCTGGGTGATCTTTAAGATCCCTTCCAACCCAAACCATTCTGTGCTCCTGTGATCTTACTCCCCAGATGGCATAACTTGTGTTTGAGCTTGAGAGGGCAGCTGTGGAAGCCCCCAAAGCAGAGCCTGTTCTGGACACACAGACAGAGGAGCCATGCGGGTCTGTGGATCGTGCTTATCGCAGCCATGGGCTGTGCTGGACTGTTTCAAACAGAGCCAGAGGCTGGGAACAGCTCGGTGGCCAGAGATGCCCCAAAGCTTTATCTCCTGAGGTCTGTGTGGCAGGGAGGGACGAGCCCTGCGCCAGGCCTTTGGTGAGCAGGTGCTGGGGACAGAAAGCAGAGATGTCCTCTGTCCCTCAGTCAGCAGGGACACGCCGAAGCCAGCGTGACGCCCTGGCTTCGTGGGGCCTTTGACCTCCTTGTGTGATTGGAGACTGCTGCATAAAGTGTTGCACTTTTTCCAGGGAAGGTCACATTTGTTCAAAACATAATTTATTTGCATTTCCTTTATTTCCTTGTAGATTGTCTAACTTTAGCACTCGGGGCACAGATGAAGGAGCTGCTGCCTCACAGATTTTCCATTTACATAAAAACCCCACCCACAAACACCCTTCACTGTCAGTGCATCCATTTTGCTGAGTGCTTTTCATTTTCCATGACCTTGAAAACATGAGGACGTTTATTAATTAATTCAGATTTACAGCTGGGTGGAGGGGAGAATTGCAGATTGGAGATAAGCAATTTGTTGTGTGCCCCTTATTTGATGAGGATTGTAGGAGAAGTAGTCCAAGCCATTGCCAGGACTTCCCATCACAATCAACTCTGTTTTTCATTTAACCACTGGATGAAGAGTGACCCTAGCAGGGGGAGAGTCTGAACTTA